TTTTTTGCATGACGTGTTAGCATACATGCATTATCATGACATGCGTGTTAAACAGACATTAACATGAATATCTCAACCAACCAAAAAACACTGCTAGAACCTTTTTAAAGATAAAAAAAAAAAAATCTAATTTATTTCTGAAATAAGAAAATTTTGACCACACAGCTTTGGAGCCCAAAGTGATGTGCAGGTGAAAATAGTTTGACTAGATTTTTAAGTGGGTTTGTTTGTTTGTTTGTTTGTTTGTTTGTTTGTTTGTTTGTTTTTTGCAAAACGATGGAAGGATATTTAACTTTACTGAGTCAAAGAAATCCAACATGCTGCTTTTATGTTTTGTTTGTGTGAGGTCAGAACGATTGGTGCACTCAAGATGACTGCCTTCAATTTCCTTTTATTCTTCATCAATGCTGCTATACTCCTGTAAAAAAAAGAAAGAAAAAGATTTTAAGAATGATTGAATTTTATTCGCCCTCCCGCCTTCCTGACAAGCCGACAGTTGCTGAAATCAATAGACAGAAAGCGGAGGAAAGGTTTTCTCGTAGCAATTTTTTTTGCTCCGTTTGTGGCCGATCGGAATGATTCAGACACGAGGAAGATGCTGGAGATGAAAAAAAACTCATTAGGAGAGACAGGAAGGAGCAAATTGGTGCAACAAAACCAAGAATAATTCCACATTTGCAGGATATTAAACTGTTTCCATGCTTGGTTAGGATTTGTTTCGGAGTCGTTATTCTTAGACGCACTCAATAATGTTTTTTCATTTAAACCCTAATCAGAATTTATCTGCGCCTGACATACTCCCACCACCGCGGTGTTTCTCTCAACGCTCATATTTCTTTTTTCAGCTGCAGCAGGATATGAGAAATTTAATGTATAGTTTTTTCCTCAGCTCAGTTTTTTCATCACTGTGAAGGAACAGGTTCTAGARGGGAAACATAAAAATAAAATACACTTTCTGCAAAGATATGAAATGAATAAACTGTGAGAATGGATCTGARGTTTATAAACTGTTGTTGGTGTTGTAAAGACCAAGAACAGCTGTCATCTTGAAACTCAAAGCTGAGAACAACAGCTTTTATTTATTGATATAAAACATGACTGTTTGGTTGAACAAAAGCAATATATTACAACAATTTAAAAAAATGACCCATTCCCTTCAATGGACCAGTCTGGACCACAGGACAAACAAAATCAAATGATCTTGAGGTCTAATGGTTTCAAATTTATGAGTCTGGAGTTCTTTTAAGACAAAATCAATCATTTTTATTGCCTTTAGCTGGTCAGAATAAAACTGTCTACTATAGGTAGAACATTAATTACTCCTAATGTTTTCACAGAGCCTCTGTAAACCTGTGTGTTAGTGTACATATATTAGCATGATGTGTTAGCACATGACCCCCCAAACAGCATTTGCTTCTGGCCTGGGAACCCCCTTGCAAACCCACTAACAATGTTGCAAAATATGTAAAGAAACATTGGCTTTTTGATTTTTTTCTCACTTTTATTAAAGGCACAGTGTGTAGGATTTTGTCAATCCTTTTAACCGAAATTGAGATAACCACTAAGGACAATAATAAAAAACATGTC